CTTTTAGTTTACGACAATCTCATGAGCCAACTCATAGATTGCCATCTGTGTACTCGTGCGATTAATCCTTCCGGAAGTTCTATGTTTCGTGGATTTGTTGTTCGAATCGAATGATAGGATTTATGTCCACCGGATTAAATAGTCGAGTTTCGCGCTTGTACCGCGAGTAATGCAATTCCGCCCAGGAATCAATTAGAGTAAAAGCAATTGGTACTTGTTGCCACTCTTAACTCGTTAATTCGATTAAGGTACATTGCCGTACTTACTTTAATTAATTTACAGAACGATTCTTACTTACGCCGTTTCCTAAATACCGAGGATTCGTAGTTGGCGACGAGGATTTGTGGGTTTCAGAGGGTGGATTTTGGGAATTTGAAACTTTGGGACATTGAAGTTGTGGAGCTGTAGGGTTTAGGAACTATGGACTTTAGAATTGAGGATTGATATGTAGAATTGTGGAATTCTTTAATTTTTTAATTCTTGAAGACTTTAAAAATTTGTATCCTTAGATTGAGGTGGTTACTTTGGGATGTTGGAAATTAGAGTAAATATAGTTTCTTGGAACACGTAAATGTTAACTTCTTAGGATTTCTTGTCCTTTATGGGACTTTGAAGCTTCTGATCTTTGAAACCAGGTGACTTTCAGACTTTCTTAATTTGCAGATCATTAATAAATATTAATCAAGTAATTGATTACTTGAGTCCATACCTGAGAATCAATCTGACCTAGTCCATATTTGTTCTTCATTCTATTTGATCAATTTATGTACAAGTAACTACTCCTTTTAAATATGAACAAAAATAAACTTAGGTTATATTAGACTCAGGTTAGACTAGTCTTAAGTTTACTCAACACAGAAGTTTCAAAATCTAAACTGCCCACAACCATTGCATCACAATACACAAATAGAAGTTGAATCAACCGGAAAATCCTAATTAACATAAATCTAAAGAAAGACAACGAATTCCCCATTGAAAAGCGATTGAATCCTCCAGGCGAAGGCGTCCACTCCCAAGAATACCCGGGGTAAAAATGATTGTCACGATAAGAACGTGCAAACAACGGAACGTCTTGAAAGCCGCGTTATTTGCATTACACCAACAGGTCGGTGTATTATTCTACCATTTGTGAAGCTCTATAAGGAGTTTCTGTCATCAGCATCGTCAAAGATGCGGTTAATAAAGGCGGCGAGACAAAACGTTCGCCACGGCAAGCTGATGCGTTTGTCCGCTCGAGACGAACAGAACCAAGGATCCAGCTTTCCCTTTCTCGTGGGTCTACAATACTGCATACTGCATTAATCATCGGGACGTACGTGTATTTTACGCCGAGAGTTATTCTTCATTTGCATCTTCGGAGGGTTGCGCAACTGTGGAGATGAGAGTCGTCTAGGATTTTTAAATATTGGTCGTAAACTGCTGTTGCGACAGATGGGTCGTAAATGAGTCATGTGTGATGACATGGAGGTGTGGAGAAGAAATGTTTGATGGGTTGGGATGTTTAGATGATGGGAAAGTTGGGAATTTAGGTATTGGGGATTTAGGTGGAGGGGAGTTAGGTATTGGGGATTCAGGTATTGGGGATTTAGGTATTGGGGATTTAGGTATTGGGGATTTAGGTATTGAGGATTCAGGTATTGGGGTTTTAGGTATTGGGGATTCAGGAAACTGGGGGGGAAAATCCTAATTAACATAAATCTAAAGAAAGACAACGAATTCCCCATTGAAAAGCGATTGAATCCTCCAGGCGAAGGCGTCCACTCCCAAGAATACCCGGGGTAAAAATGATTGTCACGATAAGAACGTGCAAACAACGGAACGTCTTGAAAGCCGCGTTATTTGCATTACACCAACAGGTCGGTGTATTATTCTACCATTTGTGAAGCTCTATAAGGAGTTTCTGTCATCAGCATCGTCAAAGATGCGGTTAATAAAGGCGGCGAGACAAAACGTTCGCCACGGCAAGCTGATGCGTTTGTCCGCTCGAGACGAACAGAACCAAGGATCCAGCTTTCCCTTTCTCGTGGGTCTACAATACTGCATACTGCATTAATCATCGGGACGTACGTGTATTTTACGCCGAGAGTTATTCTTCATTTGCATCTTCGGAGGGTTGCGCAACTGTGGAGATGAGAGTCGTCTAGGATTTTTAAATATTGGTCGTAAACTGCTGTTGCGACAGATGGGTCGTAAATGAGTCATGTGTGATGACATGGAGGTGTGGAGAAGAAATGTTTGATGGGTTGGGATGTTTAGATGATGGGAAAGTTGGGAATTTAGGTATTGGGGATTTAGGTGGAGGGGAGTTAGGTATTGGGGATTCAGGTATTGGGGATTTAGGTATTGGGGATTTAGGTATTGAGGATTCAGGTATTGGGGTTTTAGGTATTGGGGATTCAGGAAACTGGGGGTTTAGGAAATTGGGGGTTTAGGAAATTGGGAAATTAGGTGTTGAGGATTTAGGTGTTGGAGATTTAGGAAATTGGGGGTTTAGGAAATTGGGAAATTAGGTGTTGAGGATTTAGGTGTTGGAGATTTAGGAAATTGGGGGTTTAGGAAATTGGGAAATTAGGTGTTGAGGATTTAGGTGTTGGAGATTTAGGAAATTGGGGGTTTAGGAAATTGGGAAATTAGGTGTTGAGGATTTAGGTGTTGGAGATTTAGGAAATTGGGGGTTTAGGAAATTGGGAAATTAGGTGTTGAGGATTTAGGTGTTGGAGATTTAGGAAATTGGGGGTTTAGGAAATTGGGAAATTAGGTGTTGAGGATTTAGGTGTTGGAGATTTAGGAAATTGGGGGTTTAGGAAATTGGGAAATTAGGTGTTGAGGATTTAGGTGTTGGAGATTTAGGAAATTGGGGGTTTAGGAAATTGGGAAATTAGGTGTTGAGGATTTAGGTGTTGGAGATTTAGGAAATTGGGGGTTTAGGAAATTGGAAATTTAGGTATTGGGGAGTTCAGAATTTGGAATGTGGGAATTGGGGATTTAGGAGGTGGGGAATTTAGTAATTCAGGAATTGTGGAGTTTAGAAATTTGGGAATTTGAGTATTTGGGATGTGGACATTGGGATTTAGGAGTTGGGAGACTTAGGAGTTTGGGAGTTTGAGAATTTATGAATTTGAGATATGGAAGTGATCTAATCTTGAAATTTAGGAATTTGGGATTTAGAGATAGGTACTTGGGAATTTTAAAATTTAAAATGTAAGAATAGTGTAACTTGGAAATTGAAGAATTAGATCCAATTGCAAAATTTGAACTTAACAAAATTCTAAAATTAAATCTCCTAAATCCAACCTTTCTGAAGCTTCCAAACATCCTTCATTATCAAACTCTTCAAAGAAATTAATTATAACATTTCTCTCCGAAAATCCTCTCATCCCAGCGTCCCGAGCTTATTAGAACGTTTCACAAAAGTCGAGGTGCAGAGAATGCAAAGACTGCTATTCAATGAAAGAAAGTTGGGATCTCAAAGATAGAAGACGAACGTTCGCAACGCGGCAAGTTGCGTAATTAGGAAGCTAGATAGTGTTTATCTGCCGTTATCGATCGCCAGGAAGTAACAGCTTATTCGATTCGAACAGCATACTAATTTCCGTTCGTTCGCTCGCGTGCCTCCAATTCAAGACAGGAAGACGTTCCTTCCTTTGATTAAAATTTTTAGCTCCATTGGACGTCTATCTGCGTCCTCTCTTATCTCGCTTAATTAACTATCACGTTAGACGAGTTAAGCCTCGCACGATATCTCCCGTAATTAACGTGGAATTCCTCCGGGACCTCCAATGGTGCGTTACAGCTTAACATCGAAACAATCGAGAGATCATAATCTAATTTCACTTGCAAATTGATCGACGATTTATATTCAACGCGTGAAAAAAATACCTGGACATTTTATACGACTTGCGTCATAGAATTTTATTGTTCATTTCGTTGTGTGGTGTCGATAGTGATTGCTTTTGTTCTTTTAATTATGTCTCGCGTTATATTACCGTTGATAGAGATGCATAGTGTGATTATAGGTTTACTGCTGGAGGTGTGGTGCAGTCTTTGTGAATCTCTGTTTATTGCGATAGAGATCGACTGGTAATGTAGGATGGGTAATATGATGAATGTTGATGAGAGTGGTTAGAAACTTTGTATATGAAGGTATAGGACTTTTAGATTTCCAGACTTTTAGATTAGAGATATTTTAAATTTCAAGAGCCTTAGATATTTCAAATTCAGAGGTCCAAAATTTCGACACATCTACGTATTTACATATTTACATATGTACGTATTCACATATTTACATACCAACATATCTACATACCCTACATGTCTACATATCTACATATCTACATATTTACACATCTACATATCTACATGTCCACATGTCTACATGTCCACATATATACATATCTACATATCCATATATCTACGTGTCCACATATCTACATGTCCATATGTCGATATGTCCATATGTCTATATGTCCACATGTCCACATATCCACATACTACATGTCCACATATGTATCTACATATCCACACATCTACATGTCCACATATTTACATGTCCACATATTTACATGTCCACATATCTACATATCTACATATCCACATATCTACATATCAAACTCATTAAAGCTTCAAATTTCAAACTCTCTAAATCCAACTTCCAACCTAACCAAACCTTCCAAAATCCAAATTCCTAAATGTCTCAAATTCCTCACCGCCAAATACCCACATATCCTGCACATTTCGATGCAATAACGTCCAGCAGTGCATAAACAAGCATGAAATTGCGTATCACAGTCGACGCCTAACGCGGCGATATACAAAAGACAGTCATCGTCCGTTATATCATTTTGCTGTACTACTACGTTTGCCTTCATTTACCATAGCCGAATGATTTATGGTACAATCTGTAGCAAACGGCTTCCCGAATGAGTAATGGTAGCGAACGTGTTAACAGAGTCCCACTTATCATCCGTCAGACGTAACATTCCTCGAATCTGTGTTCGCAGAAGAATGGACGGAAACATTCCCCTATCAATTGCTGGTTGGAACGGGAGTAGCATTGATGGCATTATTATTATTGGCCGCTGTGAGTTTCCAATGTTCCTCTACTTGGCGATGGCTAATGAGGATGAGGCGAAACATGAAGGAAGAGGATGCCGAGAGCGATTTGTCTCAACAGAACGCTATACGCATCAGCCACTCGTTGCCGGATCTTCAATCGGAACCAATCACCCACGAATACGTCCAAGAACAAAAAGACAGCAAAAAGGTACGGAAATAATTGGAATCTTATCAATTTATGAACGACTATGACGATAACGATGTTATGACGATGTTAAACGAATATTATTTATTCCTTTTTATCAATTCTGTCGGTCTTTTATCGATTTTAGTAATGTCTGGTGTCGATAAGGATAATGTTTTAAAACTTCCAAGTACATGACCGCAGAGGGTTTGTTTTTTCGGTCACAGGGTCTGAAAATTTCATAGAACTTTGGCTAAAGAGGGTGATGGAGAGAGGAATTTTCTTAAATATTAAAGTATGATGGACGTGAGCATGATTTTTTTATAGGTGCTACGTCAGACGACTTTACCCATTGTCCCGATGAGGCACCAGAGCTTTCAGAGACAGCTATCGCATCGGTTAGATCTACCCAATATCAAGTTCAGCATTTGCAGCTTGGAGAACCGTAGTGACTCCAGCCTTGGATTGATTAAAGTAAGATTCCCAAATTCTCACATTTTCAAATTTCTAATCTTCCAAATACCTAGTTCCCCAAATTCTCACGTTTCCAAATCTCCAAATCCCCAAATTCTCACATTTCCAAATTTCTACACTTCCAAATACCTAATCCCCCAAATTCTCACTTTTCCAAATTTCTACTCTTCCAAATACCTAGTTCCCCAAATTCTCACGTTTCCAAATCTCCAAATCCCCAAATCCCCACATTCCCAATTTCCTAACCTTCCAAACACCCACTTCACCAAATTCTCACATCCCCAAATCTCCAAATCCCAAAATTCCCACATTCCCTAATTCTACCCTCCCAAATACCGTTTTCCCCAATTTGCCACATTTCCAAATTTCTCCTTCCCCAAACTCCCACCTCCTCAAACTCTAATTTCCGACCTTTCCCAAAAGCCCACATCCAAAATTTCCAACTTCCAAAATGAAAATATTCCAAATTAGAGTGAAAGTAGCTCCCAAGTAAAACAGCGTTGCATTCATTTCACTTGTACAAAGAGAATACAAGCAGCGGAAGACACTTTGTGTGACCTGAAGCTTAGTTTGCCCGTTAAGCGAGGGAATTTTTCGCTACGCAAAGAACTCGCTGCAAATGGGCCAACGCTGAAAGGCACACAACGAAACACACGAGGAGAATTCAGTTTGCTGAAAGTTTTAACCGTACACGTTCACGTATTGCAGCCGGAACTTTACAAGAAAGAGCTGCTCAAACAGGATGACGCGGACAGCGCCAGCACCGCGGAAATGGAGTTCGCCGGAAGTCTGCGTTTCGCTCTGCAGTACGACAAGGAGATCGAGTCATTGATCGTTAAGGTGAGCTTACTAGTTTCTTGAATAAACCTACGTTCCGTTTGCTCGTTAAACGATGCCGGGGAAAAAATGGTGTTGCCGAGCTTAACGTGTTTACTCAGTGCATAATGGAGCGAAAAAATGTTAGCACGCTTTACTTCTTTTTGCTTTATTTTATTTTAAACAGTTACATGTACCTCTCTGTTATGTGTGAAGTAAATTAGGGAAACAAATTAAATGATCTTTTAAAAAATCTTTTGGAGGATAGGAACTGAATATGATTATAAACAGTCAATATGTTTAACAACATGGATGATGATTTATTTGTGTTATTATAAGGTGGGAATGTGATACAGCATTTTATAAATGTGATGATTAATTGACAAACTCGATAAGAAGTATTATGTGAAGGTTTCGAAGTAACAATATTATACTTGATTTTTAGATAGTAAAATCAATATATGTATATGCAGTTTGATTTTTGTTATTCACTTCATATAATTTGAAGTTAAAAGACATAACTGTGTAATGAATTGATTAATTGACAAATTCAATGAGGAGTATTAAATGAAGGTTTCGAAGTAACAATATTATACTTGATTTTTAGCTAGTAAAATTAATACATGTACATGGAGTTTGATTTTTGTTATTCACCTTATATAATTGTGAACTTAGAAGACATAACTGTGTAATGAATTGATTAATAGACAAAATCGATAAGGAGTATTAAATGAAGGTTTCGAAGTAACAATATTACACTTGATTTTTAGATAGTAAACCCAAAATATGTATATGCAGTTTGATTTTTGTTATTCACCTTATATAATTGTGAAGTTAAAAGACATAACTGTGTAATGAAACTATGTGACATTGAACAGTTTTTGTACGTTATCTGCCTCCCACATTGTAGCACAAAGTTTGAAGCGACTATCGCCTGCGTTGAAAGTTTCCACCTTGACAAAGATGCATGTGCAACATTGTTACAATACTCGAAATGAAACCATCAAATTCCTCATTCGATGTAACAACAGAGCTTATAAGTTGTAAAACGCTGAGCAAACCTCGTTGCAAAATTCCCAAACGTAAAACAAATTCCGACTCGTGCGAGTTTATAACTGAAAGCACATTTTCCTTTGTGTAACACTGTTGCAAACTTGGTACCGTTAAATTAACAATATTTACGTGCATGGCGTTGTTAAAGGAAGTTAAACGGTAGTTTGCATAATATCGTGGCCCAAATTCCTGTAAAACGAGTATCAACGGTTTTCATAACATCGTTGCGCAATTCGAGTTCGTTATAAAATGCTTTTGATTTCAATTCCCACGTAATTCGCGGAATTCAAACGTTTCTTTGAGGAAATTGCGTCGTATATTCCCGAAGAAATATCTGGTTATTCGAATATCAGCACGTCGGAGGGTTTCACGCTTATTCGAGGCATCTCGATTCCATCTGAATTGCAGCGGACTCTAAAGCTCCTTCTTCAGGCGATGCACGTAACGTGAAATCAACATGGCGAGGAACTTTTTTGCTCGTCAACGAGCATCGACATTCGCGTTCCAGTTTCCTCGTTTGCTCGGAATTATATTGCTCTCGATTTATAATACGATACATTCGATCGCGTGCGGCCGCATTGATTAAGCTGCCAACGTGTCTCAAGGCTGCTACATCACTTTCGATGATAGATTTTTCCGGCGGCTGAAATGCATATAAACGACGAGGTATGCAAGGGTGTGTTCGAATTCATTTCTGGGTGTCACGCGATCGATTACGACTTTTCTCGATAATTGACTGTCGTCGAGATTTACGACGTTGTATCACCATTTTATTCCTTTAAGACACTTCTCGTAATATTTAACTTTTGTAAAATTTTACTAAAAGTCATCTTGCAGTTACTTTAACAACTTTGTTCATTTAATTAATTTATAAGAAAACCAACATGTAGTAAATAAGCAGGTTTACTTGGTACCTCTTTACGATTTATACTCTGATGTATAAATAAGCGTTACATGTAAAGTCACCGATGACTTTGTCTTTTATTTCCCGACACAATAACGCCTTTATTCTATGTGCGATTCAAGTCGACCACATCCATTTATAGATTATATTAATAAAATGAGGAGGACTCTAAAGGGTGTTGAAACGTTACAAAGGAATAAGTTGGTCATCTTCAGTTTGTTCTATTTCCATACATAGAACAGTGGGGAAGTTAATTATATTTTCCTTTTTGATACAATTTAACATTTCCCTCCGCAATCCTTTGCTGCTCGCAGTCTTTGATCTCTCGGAAATTCAGGTTTCCTCAATTTGCAGTTCAATCCTTCCGCCATTTTTGATCGATGAATACGAGTCCTTTTCTGAGATTTTTATCTCTTCGAAACTTCAGAATTTTTAAACGTTCAAATTCTTACAGAAATTTTTACAATTTTTACCATAAAATTATATGACCATATAGAGAGACTTTAGCTGCTGTTGCATTAATTCGACACGTGAACAATAGCGAATAATCAGAAGACAATTTGTAACGTTACGAGTGTTTTTGCATCGATTCATCTCGCTCTCGATTAAGCTAATTACCGTGGGCTATATTTAGCGACAGCTATTTAATAACGTTAATGAGCTACGCCGCGTTCCAGCGATGAACACGCGAGTCCGCCCGGTTAGATTTGCTGTCGATCGCAACAGGGATTAGGTAATCGACGCGTTATTCGAAAGATATTGAATTCGTTATAAATAGACCACGGTGCCCACGTTTCGTGACACAGAAATGTAAATGAGACCCATTAATGCGTGCAATATATCGTGATTCATTCATAAACCAATGCGAGAACGGTCAACCGAGAAACCCACGATTTGAATTTATTTTCTACGTCATAACCATATTCATGACTGAGAAACTGCTTTCAATTATAGTCATAGATCAGCTTTTAAACAATTTCTTGAAAGAAAAAATTTCTTAAGAGAAGAAATTGTTTCAATTTCTTAAACAGTTTCTTAAAAGAAGAAATTGTTTTAATTTCTTAAACAGTTTCTTAAAAGAAGAAATTTCTTAAAAGAAGAAATTGTTTTAATTTCTTAAACAGTTCCTTAAAAGAAGAAATTTCTTAAAATAAGAAGTTATTTTAATTTCTTAAACAGTTTCTTAAAAGAAGAAATTTCTTAAAAGAAGAAATTGTTTTAATTTCTTAAACAGTTTCTTAAAAGAAGAAATTTCTTAAAAGAAGAAATTGTTTTAATTTCTTAAACAGTTTCTTAAAAGAAGAAATTTCTTAAAAGAAGAAATTGTTTTAATTTCTTAAACAGTTTCTTAAAAGAAGAAATTTCTTAAAAGAAGAAATTGTTTTAATTTCTTAAACAGTTTCTTAAAAGAAGAAATTTCTTAAAAGAAGAAATTGTTTTAATTTCTTAAACAGTTTCTTAAAAGAAGAAATTTCTTAAAAGAAGAAATTGTTTTAATTTCTTAAACAGTTTCTTAAAAGAAGAAATTTCTTAAAAGAAGAAATTGTTTTAATTTCTTAAACAGTTTCTTAAAAGAAGAAATTTCTTAAAAGAAGAAACTGCTTTAATTTCTTAAACAGTTTCTTTAAACAATTTCTACTGCAGTACAAGGTTTTATGACCGATTTTGCACCGAAATTATGGAAGGTCACCCGTGCAATTTTCCGTGTTTTTCCAGGTTTTAGAAGCTCGAGATTTGCCGGAGAAGGACGTGACAGGAAGCAGCGATCCTTATGTGAAAGTGTATCTCCTTCCTGACAGGAAGAAGAAGCATCAAACGAAAGTGCACCGCAAGAATCTGAACCCCGTGTTCAACGAAACCTTCATATTCAGGTTAGACACGAATCACAAAATACTTTCATTTTATTTTTATTCAAACGATACTTTCCATGTCATATATAATCATTTCAAAATTTTTACAGGTTAATTTATAATATCATACCGCGAATCTGTCTTCGAATAGTGTAAAGTCATGTGACACATATGTAATCATATATTTTTGCTAAGTTAAGAAAATATATTTCTTTGAAAAACTTGTTCATGCAACAATGTCCCTATCAGCTCAAACACTTGAAAGAGATTTCTCCAATTATTATACAATTAAATAATAACCCTTTCCTTATCAGCGTATCATACGAAGAGCTAAGAGAACGCTATCTCCAATTCTCCGTGTACGACTTCGATCGATTCTCTCGAAACGACCTGATCGGGCAAGTGGTTGTCAAAGGGTTGTTGGAATGCGCCGATCTCGAGCACGAACTCGAGTACACAATGGACATTATGCGTACAATGCAGGTAAATTCGTAGCAGCAAAGCGTCTTGACAAGCCACTGAAACGCTTTTCTACTGTCTCCTCAGGAAAAGGTGGATCTGGGTAAATTGATGCTGTCGCTTTGCTACCTACCGACTGCCGGTCGGCTAACAGTGACTGTAATTAAAGCCAGAAACCTGAAAGCCATGGACATAACAGGATTGTCGGGTAAATTTACTGGAATTGTTCGGCGTCAGCCACAATAAATATCGGGACGAGTCCGCGATTGCTTTTCCCAACCTACAATATTGATTCGCGCGATCGCCTTGTTTAGCCGAATCGTTGCGTTCGATTTTAGCTGGGGTACGCAATCGCAGATTCACACGAAATAATTTTCACCGGGTTTAATTGCTAGATTAATAAAGTTGGACTTAGACAAATTTTTTGAATCATGATATTTTTATGAAATTCAGTAAATAATTTTCGGTCCGAATGTGATTTGACGTAGCTCATAAATTTTAAGACTACTTGAGAGCAATTTTTAAAAGTGAACTTTTCGAGCAAACATTTTTAAAATTATAGATTGACTTTGAAGTCAATGGGAATTAATTTGATTGTTGAATTAATAGATGTCAAGTATTTTTCGTTTGTATTATAATTTCTATATGAATGACCTTCCTATACTGAGACCTGGTACTTGCAGTGTACTCTCGTTATGTCACATTTTAATTTCCACTGAATGACCACACGAATTATCGTGAGTCAATTCGCCACGCGTTAAATTACAAGTCAAAGCACGCATCAAATCGTCTCCCGTCAAATTACTATGCGTCAAATCACCGCCATATCAAATAACCAGTGAAATCGCATGTCAAACCAGTCAAATTCCCACGCAACAAGTTTTTACGTGTTCCACATTCAACGCGTTGTATCAAAACTCACGAATAATCTCAACTATTCTGAAAACCTGACACAAGTAAATTTGCAGACCCGTACGTGAAGATATACCTGTTATGCCAAGGCAAGAGGATCAAGAAGAAGAAGACGACCGTGAAAAAGAACACCCTCTGTCCCGTGTACAATGAGATTCTAGTGTTCGACGTGCCGGCTGACAACATCGAAGACGTTAGTCTGATAATAAAAGTAATCGACTACGACAGGTAAGAGAAAAAATCTCTTCATTTTAGAGACAAAAACCTGATGAAATTTTATTAAATCAGAATTGGATCGAACGAGCTGATGGGTTGCACAGCAATCGGCTCGAGTTTCATCGGTATCGGACGCGACCACTGGTTGGAAATGCTGGATAATCCAAGGAAACCCGTGACGCAATGGTATCCTTTGACGGAAACGATCGCTGGTCACATTCCAGCCGTGAATTCGGAGCCTCTTCCAGTGAGTCTGAGCTGCTTGAACAGTAGGTGAGTGGCTCGATTTCTTATGGATAATTCAGCAAATGTTTCAATGAAACCTTTCTAATCTGGGTTTGGTACGAGATTATTCAGCTGCGATGCTGTGGCAAATCGTGCATTGAAATATTATACTAATTTGCATTTATCGAACTTTCACTTTGCGAATTCCATTCAGAATTAAATTTAACTGTATGTGAGATTTGTTGTATTGCAAATGACTTACGAGAGCTTTAATAAACGGAAGTTGTTATGAAGTTTGTTGAAGGATAGTAAATGTTGAAGAGAGAATAGCTAGGTTTTTTGTTGCAGATGAAGAAAGTACCGGTGGGATAAATATCGCGGAAAGTCGCAGTTTTTGTCGGACGTCGGCTTGGGCGTTGTTTCCTTCTGTCGTCATTTAATGCACACCGCTTGACTGACTTAAGTACAATTTCTATCTCAACAGGCTCGGATGAAACAGAAGCAAAATATCAAACAGTATAAAACTCTGTGCTTTGAAACATAATGTATCGGCGAGCGTGAAATAGTAAACGTGTACTAGACAGTAATAGAGTGTTTGTAAAGCTTAGATAGAGAGTCGATGGAAGAACGAGGTTGCTCAAATTACCTTTGAAAAATAACCCAAGAAGAAAAAATTAAGTATCCCCAGTATCGATAAGAACATACAAACGAGAGAAAGAGAGGGAGAGAATGCGAGTGAGAGAGATAAAGAGAGAAAGATAGACAAAGATAGAATAGCTTATTTTTGAAAAAACGAATCCAGGCTGGCCCTGTATTCCAGAATCGTTTATCAATTCCACTGATCGTATATTTTATCAACGAGAGAGAAACACTGACTCAATAAGCGGTTGTGAACGAGCAAATTTTTCGGGTCTCTTGATATATTGCATACTTACCGCTTGCATAAGCGTTACCACTTTATAACCGAAATAGCAGCTAATTGTTCGTTTAGCTTTCGTTATTTTAATCTAGATATTTCAATCTGGATATGGACAAAGTGAAAGTCGTCAAAGGTAGGACTCTCGCTATATTGCATTGTTACTGTTAATTGAGCCAGTTACCTATAGTCTTGCATATAGTCTATATTATACAGTCCACACGCACTGGTAGCGTGAAAATTAATACTCACGCGTTATATCACAAAGCGTTAGACTTCGAACCAAGTTTAATTCGAGGTTGTCCCTACAGCCCTGTCCGAGGCAATATAACGGGAGTCTACGGTATCGAGACACCTATTAACAGATTTCCGATAATTATCGAGAACTCAAGAGCAAAAGAGATTCGAGAAAGCTTCGTATTAAAAAATAATTGTCGAACAGAGCACTGTGGATATATAGCCTTTGCCGCACGCACACTTATTAGCAGTCGTAGCAAGTACACTTACTAGTACGTAATGATTTCAAAGAGGGTTTTAATTTCTACTGAAACGTGCTTGAAAATAATATATAGTCGGTGTTTATTTTATCGCGCTTAATGCAGCAAAAAGTTCTCTTGCAATCCGGTCATTCCTCCGCACGCCCACGCAACGAGTAACAAGCATCGTACTCCAGCACAATCGATTCTGTGTATGAAACGTACACGTTATGTATTAAGAAACAGCTTAACGAGGCACAAACGTACAATAACTGTTTTCAGTGATAAACCGCGTGATCCTACGAGGATTTGTCACGATCGGACACCATTATCGTGCTTCCGTAACACTTGTCTCTATCGATCAATCCGATGCATGACACCGCGAGAGAACGTTCTAAGGACAATAAAGCCATGTAATCCATATGTAGATCTTTCTTTAGTCTTTGAATAGCAATATCCTAACGTTAACGTATGTGTCACGCTGTGTCGTTGTTGCAGTACACTCCCGATCGAAAGGCATTCACGTTTCTCTTGATCACACGATACAGATATCGTATCTAATTCTAAATTACATCAAGATTTCAGATTTGAAAATTTTCAGGTTAAATTCAAAATTTCTACTCTTTCAAATTTGATAGAATCTTGAACATTACTACTTGAATACTTGAATATACTTGTCAACGATTTGGTAAAAATTTTGAATACAAATAATGCATGAAATTTTTCTTCAAACATTTAAACAATTTCAATCACTTTCGATAAAATTTGAACAACTTGACTTTCGAGGGAGAGTACATCGTGTATTTACTAAAGCATACCAGCAATGAAAAACAGAAAAATAAAAAAAAATAGAAAAGGAAGCGAAACGACGTTTACTAATTCACGCTCATACCATTTTCGCGCAAAATGTTCTTATTTAACATGATACGTGTTTAGGTATAAAGCTCGTCGAAGGGCACCGTTTGTGATAACGCGGCCGGAAGCACGTGCACACGCGCGAGACCGCGTATCGACAGTTCACGTTAATCGACAGGAAAATGTTGCGTGTGCTCGATAATGACGCGTGTGTGACACGCGTGGAGGGCCACGTCGTAGAGAACAGTAAATCAACGCGAATGATTCGTAGCACGTATGATAACCGTAATACATGCAGGCATAGTGTATCGTGAAAATATGTAACACTCGCTTGAGAACGGGAATTGTGTAAGAGGAATTTGTACAAAATGGCACGATTGTTTCGCGTAATCGATTAACGGTCGATCAGATACAAAAGGGGATATATTACATGTGGGCGTCACTGGAAAGCGGGTGAGCTGACGTTGAGAAGAGAGGAATAATTGAAATGTCGTTGTTAATCCTTTAATTGCGAAAGAGGGAATTGGATGAAGGTAGAAAGAGCCATTTTCTGACTTCGTATGAATACTGAAACCATGTCAAAAGAATACATTTCGAACAAATTATTATAAAGACATTATGACTTATTATTATAAGGAAATGACTTCAAGAAATACGTAAAATCTAAATTTCTGAATTCATTTAAAATAAAAATGAATTATTGAAGTAAAAATAAAAGTGATCAAATCACTAGTACTTCACGTTTGCCCCAGTTAACAAGTGTATAATACATTATACTCAAGTAGTGAAAGCTTCGAACGACAATCAGCAGTTGAAGGATTAAAATCGATAAAAGACAATGTTGTGTGTTCCATGTTACTGAAAGTATACCCTATATCGAAACATACATAGTTAGATAAATAACCAACTAATAACCACGAAACGTAACTAGAAGAAAATGTGCCAAGACACGCAGAAGTAGTAGTAGCGTAGAAATAGCGAAGCGTAGCGCACAGGAACAAAGAAGCTTTTAATGGTTAATCCTCGAAGTAGTATATATACATATATTTATATAATCCTCGTACCAAATTGTATCCAGTCAATTTGATGGTGGCTGCCCGTGGGGTTGGCTATTTTTTCTAGAATTCTTGTTGCACTTCTCATTTTCGCGTTCCAGCGACGCCCATTAAAGCAAACCAAGAATAACTGTATTTTTCGTACAAATTGCGGACATTCTACTACAGACTGAGATTACTCGAATAACTTCACGTGAGCTGCTTAAGAAGAAGGAACGGACATGTAATTTTGTAAATTAGAGTAGTAGGTGGTCAGCCTGGAGAACATTTTTCTACGATCGTGAGGAACGGATTCGATAGAAAATTGCATCGAATCGTTCTAGACCGGACACGGGCGGGAAGTTTTCGTGCTCGTAGCTGTTCTGGACTATCGAATGATGTACTTAATCTATATTTATTTTGAATACACCGTATCGAGTGTATCTGACGTCGTCCTGTATTCGGTGTGTCGATTATTTCATTCTGACGTTTTTGTATTCGTTTCGATGTAGTGTTAATATGCGTAGTCGATGTTCGTTCAAGTAAACGTGTGATTTTGTACGTGAACATGGAGTACTAAGGTGATTTGGAGTAACGTTGATACACGATGTCCTTTACTTTGTATCGTTAGAGTGACTTCCATCCACTCGCATCGCCGATGAATCGCATCTCCAAATTGCCGGTATTCAAAATTTTCGGGCGAGGACCTGGACCACCCAAAAATCTTAATTAGGCCCATCACACCGCTGTCGATACCGTGTGACATGCGTACATATCAATCGCGACGATGCGAATAAACGGGCTGACGAGTATCAATTTCACTGGATAATATCCGAAGAGCGACAAAATCTATTCTACTCATGAAAGTGACATCGTACTCTTATTTAGTCAAAAACTGCAGGCGAATCGAATCGAGTAACGGTACCGATAATATGCATTTTCTAACGAGTATGTATTTATCTATGCTGTATATCCGGACAGCTGTCCATTTGTGATTGTGAATGAAATAAATAAATCGGTACCACATAAATTCGTGCATTCTTATTTTCCAAATGAATCATCAAACGTAGAGGAATTTATTCGAAGTGCAACTGGGGACGCCGAGAGTAAATGAAAAACCGTCTGCAACATCAAATGTACTTTTCATTTATTTGACTACTTATCTTTACAGATTAAGTCTACCTTAATGCTAAGATACAGCTTTCCCATTATGTTACCTCTAATCGAAACGTTACGATAATACTAAGTATAAAATAAGCAATAGAGCTTATACTGGTATGTAGCAACGACTTAAGTACCTCTACTTAAATAGTATCCTTTTAAAAGTGCCGGGAAACGTCGTCCGTGTCGTCGACGAGGCTTGATCACCGTCGCCGGTTACCAAACTTTCCCTTTCGTCAGAAATTATATTAGACAAGCATCGAGGTTTCTTCTGATAAGGATAATTAATTGCAGCCATTTGTTCGTCGATCGAACATCGTACCATTTTTCATTTTCATTCTGGTGCTCTTCTAACGTTAACTCTATCTTGCAAATTGTGAAAAAAGAATTAGGCCATTTCCTCTCGTCTCTCCCCGTTCTTTTTGCATTTTTTCGTGTCTGCTAATTGAAAATTCGCGGCATTGGAAATCACGTTTTATAGATACCTGCTCGAGATCAACAACAATGACAACGATTTGTGTGATGTACAATAGAAAACAATAGATCGCGGAACGATGTTCAGTCTTTGAAGAAATGCAACTGCAGCGACTAATTTGATGAGTCTTCGTGTGAATCGGATGAGGCTTAAGCTTAATCCAGAGCGGATGGCTCGTGTTTTATATAGCATTACAAATGCTGTACAATATATATTTTGTGTGTGTTTTATTCCTTTTTTTTTTAAATCGTATTATTACGCATAAGAAATGGACTCACGATTATAAAACGCTACTTTGACGCAGATGAACTCGATGGATCCTCGGTGTTAACGAACGCAGCTCTACGATTTCGCTACAATGATTTTATTATTCTCTTTTATCCTGCTTCTCTTCGACTTCTCCTCCTCTTAGCATCATTTTTCTTCTCTACAATCTCTGTATATATATTGACTTCTTATCGATTGATTGGAAAAATTGCATGGCCGTGGGAAGAGGCAGGCGACGACGATCGTTTCTCGAAGAGTTCGTTCTCTTTTTTTTTCAAAATCGTCGTCGTTTCCCTCTTCCTCGCCGCCGCTAAATACTGAACAGGTTTACGATTCTAAACGACTAAGCGTTCGAGTAAGTGTTATTCCGCGACGTTTATGCGTCATTTTGTTTCTTTCTCTCTCATCCGCCCGTGATTACGCTTAGAAACGTAGAACGTTCGATTAATCTACAATTGTTAAGTACTTCTACGGGCAGCTTCGTATCTAAACGAACCATTAATCCTCGGATTTTTTTCATTTACTTCTTTTTTTCGTCTTTTCGTTTTTTTTTCTTCTCTTTGTCTCTTTACACGAAATACGATCGCACGTTTCCCCGCGTACAACGACGCGAAAACACGTGGCCGATACACGAATTGTACAAATCTTTGCTTTGTGTGATTCGTTTCGATTATCAATAATCATTTAAGTACGGGTGAAATGCAACCACGAACTTCTGTGATCGGAGCACTAATCAATTATACTTGGTAATCAATATTAATAATAATTAATAATCATGAGAATAAATTGTAGTTATAATCAATATAATAATTATAGGCAAACCTTTGTTGTAGCGTTGTACTTAGCGTTATTTAAAATAGTAGCGTTATTCTTATGTATAATACCGAAGTTCGATTACGGACAGAGAATTGATTTTTTTAACTTCCTTTTTTTATATATATATAATATATATATAATTTTTTTGTTCATATATATATAGCAATATGGAGGGAATTCACTAACAACTTGCTCGAAAAGTGCAGCATTCTCACACACCTATAAACAAATATAAAAACTCCTCTGTTTAAAATCTTTTTGCTTTTCTCTGTTCCTTTCTCTCTTTATCTATTTCTTTCATTCTCCACGCTACGCATTCTTACGCTGCTTTGCGTTCTTGTGCGCACGCGAATTGTTTCATCGCGCATCTCCTGTCATTTGAATTTCCCGCGGCGCTGGCAACGCGCGAAGCGATTCGAATTCAAAAAAGGCGCATCGCCGAAGAACAGGAAATGCGGATGGAATGTCGTGCGTGCCGTAATTCATTGCATCGTCCCTTTTTCTCATTTTTTTGTTCTTTTTACTTTCATCGTAGCGAAAATAAGGTGTCGATAGTATGCGTCTGTACATTTAAGTACACCACCGAGCATGGTAGGCTTCGCTAAGGACAACAGCGATGTTAAAAAAAGGTCTCCATTACTCGTGGTTGGAAAATTTTCAGTTTCTAAATTAGAAATTCTTAAATTATTTCTGAATTTCCAAGTTTACAAATTATCAAACGCTCCCTCGAAACTTTGAAAATTTGGATGATTCAGAATTTAGCAACTCGGAAGATTGAAGCTTACATTTGATCCCTAAAAGCAAGTTAGAAGCTCTTCTCCCTTTCCTTGTCCTTTTCCAAGGGAAGCCTACGTTGCAGCGCAGTGTACAATATGTGAAATTAATATTATCCGAAGCACCAGGCACGATACTCTTCTCACGCATACATTACACAATCTCGCATCCTCGTTTTTTTTTCATTTTCTTTTTTATCCTCCATACACGCTTTTCTCGTTGTCTCGATCTTCTTTCTCTCGACACGCAAACGAAACGATACGAACAATCATGCATAAGCACGCCCATAACGAGTAGCAGCGATAATACCATTGTAATTAACACGATTGTTGCACACGTAACATTGTCCTATGCGTGTATAAATTGTACGATTAACGAGCGATCGATTCGCCAATGACGGCGTATCGGGTGCACAATAATAAGTACCGAGGCTAAATGCTTTTTTCCTTAATTACACGTTACATCGTGGTATTTAGCAAGCTCAAGAGTGATTGATCGCTATAGAACGACGAATGCACCATGCACTTACTTTTACATCTACCACGTACGACAGTACTGTATATGATTTATTTAAAGTGTATTTATCGACATCTATGAAGGAATCGGGGACCGCCGGTAATTCGCGACGCGTCCAAACCGCGCGCGAGTCCTGACTAGATACTTATCCTGAGACGTTCGCGTATTTGGGCAATTTTCCTCTCGTTCTTCTCCCTGTTTTTTAAGTACTTTTGGCCGCATCGAATCGCGTGATCCGCGAAATCGCGCAGCGCGGAAGAAATGCGTCGCGAACGATCACCGACGAGAACCGTGACACGCTCGTACCGAATTATTCTCATTTAACCCCGTGTTCCTCTCACACTGTTCTCTTTTCGCGCCCTCGCTCCTCTTTGTCCTCCTCTTCTCCACGCTTGTTCTGTTACCTCTGACCCGAAATCGCGTCATCGATTGTCAGCGAAAGGAAATATGTCGCGATCTAGAACAGTGATGCGCCGACCAAGTGCTCGAAGGTCTCGAGGCTACTGATGTGCATTTATGCAGATTACAAATTTTTAACATCCAGACTTGTAAATTTACAAATTTAGATTTTCGAATTGACTACCCATAAAAATCCTCAAAAGCCCGTCATTACATGCCTCGTGTCCTCGCGAGCACTTGTCCATCACTAATCTGGAACGACTATAAAAAGAAGAAGCTAGCTAGCCTACTTAAAAGTGAACAGTGTACGGTGCTACGCCGACCGTATCGCATGTGCAAACAATTCAAGCTATGCACGCGATAAAAACCTTTCACGATACTATTCACGCTTTCTATGTAATACTTGATGAACGCCAACATTGTTCCAAGGAAGAGTGACTAGCATTCGTTCTACAGCGAGTTAACGATCTGTCTAACTTTCATTCCTACATTCTCCTCTTTCTTTTTCGATAAATCGCTCATCCGATCCTCGCATCGTTTACCATCGTTTTTTCTTTTATAGTTACATCGTTCCTTTCCGTGAAAATGACGGCAATCTGTCCCATTCGAATCGTCATACGGGCGACACGCTCACACACGAACAACACGCGTTGAGAATGAATTCGGGATCCATGTGATTCCTCGTTTGTTATAAGCCTATTTATAACGTTCTCTTGCTGATTAATTATAACTCGCGTGCGAAAATACCAAGAAATATCCTCGCAAAGTTAAGCTGGACGGCTTTGATAAAAATTAGGATCTCTTCCGAAGGACGTGAACATTTAAGGGATTAGGAAGTGTTTGCGGGCTGATCGATGGTGGTTTGTGATGGTTCGTGTATACGTGTTTGGGGGCGATTCAGCGTACGCGGCATTGCGAAAGAAAAAGCATCGATCGTCCCTTGCGAAAGTGCCCTCTTGTGCAAATGTGAATACTCGAGAACCATGCGTGTGTACGAAATCTGCCTTGTATTTTGTTTCGCCTGTGTGATGTATATACGTGTGGGTAGCGATCGAAATGATACCGGATCAATACTGCCAATTCTATCCTGCAAATTATGATACTTTATCGAATAGTATCTACTAGAATTAATGCTCGTTTGATACTTCGCGACTGTGAACCCCAGAGCCAGAGGGTCGATCAAGTCCACTCCCTTCATAAAGCGACGATTGAAATTTTGCAATCTTTCCGATAATAACAATTATTTCTAATTAGTGTATTTTTTGATAATAATGGATCTCAAGCGACTCATACTCTAGCTTTGGAGTCCATAAACATATCCTTATGGAAGTATTGATATTTTATATCCGAAATTAATTTACTTTTATCAAAGAGATAACCATGTAACAATGTAATAATGCCTTAACCTTTAAAACATGGGAAGTTTCTTAAGTAAAACCATATGAAAGGGTCACTTGCAACGACTTAATATCGTTTCAAAAAGAGTCAGTATCTAAAGTTTTGATACTGTTCTATCGAATACTTTGGTGTCGATATCGCTTCGATCAGTACGTGTGAATGTGTTACTACATTCTTACGTGTCTCGTTAAACAGAACTCACTAAGTGCTTAGCCGAAGAAGTGTATCATATCACGAGCAGCAATCACGACACCGGCAATGGAATGCGATTCTCCTGAGCAAGGAGTACACGTTTCGTTGCCTCGTCTTTCGCTCATTCGCTCGTCATCCTAGCGCGGAATATGTACGTATTTATATCGTATATGCATATTTATAGAGATAATCGTATTTACACGGGACGTTATTGGCATCGTGGCTGCGACATGGCCGCACCCTTGACGCGCTTCGAGGCGGAAAGACAGCGCGACCTCGTCGCGTTTGCGATTCCTTGGTCGCGAGCGTGCTGTCCGAGGATCTCTTCGCTGTATCCTCGAAGGACATGGTCGATAATCGACCTTCGAGTGTTTGCAAGCGTACAGATAGTTCCGAGTGTGTTCGTAATTGACTAGCGGTTCCAGAGAAACGTATCTGCTTCCTTTTTGTCGCGAACCTTTTCCTTTTGTGAAGGTTCTGCAAGGTTGACAGCTCGAGGACACGAAACGAACGTTCATTAAAACACGAGTCCCGAGTCCTCGCTCGAAATCGCGGAATAACGCCTGATCAGCACAAAACCCTGTGCTCGAAATTCTGTTCTGCACGCCTGGTCGTCGATTCACGGAAGCACTGCTTGTCTCGAGTGTTTATCTCGTCGCGGGAAAAGCGAATTTCTCTTTTTTTATTGCTAGAACGCTGAATATACCTGCTGCTCGCCGACTACTGTTCTGCGCCCACTACTTGATTGTAATAAACGGTTACGAAAGCGTCGTTGCTCGTTGCTCCTATCTGTAAACTGTTCAGAGCCGCATCGTTCACAACGATCGGTACAGTAGATCCGACCTCGTCGCACGATGCGTTTCTTCGAATCGTAGATCTGTTTGAATAGAGTAGTTACACGTAGGATTATAGCGAAAATGGCTGTTGCGTGGCTGTCGTCGTCCTGTGACCCGTTGTTGAAAAGAATCTGTCGTTATTGTGCAAGGAAGTCAAACAACAGCCTGGCTATGCTTGTAGCTCGCTCGGTTTTGCTAGACATACGCAAAACAGTCTCAGTAGCGTTGCTGGAACTCGTGGTGCCATCTGTTGAAGTCGATGTGGAATATCACGATCGATCCGTTGGCCAGACCAGCAAGTAGAAACCTGTAACACGGTATTATGATTACGATGAACAGACTATGAACTCGATAAAGTGGCTAAATTACTTACTTTTGGTCGTGAGAGAGTGCCAAAGAACGGACACTGCTTTCGCATGCCGGAAATGCGTACAGAAGAGCTAGATTGAACGTCCTCCAAACTTCTACGATTCGTTTGTCACCACCTGTCATTAAGTACTCGCCGTCTCTGCTTAAAAGTAGACACTGAAAGAAACGAACGTTGGAATCGAATTATGTTTTAAAGGAGTTGTGTTCAGTGCAAGAAATATGCCGCGGTGATGTTGCAAGATTGCACTATTACTTATGGGAATTTATAAGGTTCGGATAGTCTTACTGTCACATCTAACACCTATGTTACCTGAAGATTATCATTGTGGGACTCATGGCGCAGGCGTTTTCCATTTATGGTGAACGCAGCTATGTGACCACGTTCGTAGTTCACCACAATAACACCTTCCCGCGACATTGCAATATTTTCAGGCGAAGAAAATCCATTTGGTGCCTCCAGTGATCTCAAGAGATCTCCGAAAGTCGTGTGCACAAGAACTGGTCCGTCTATGAACACAATATAATTGGTTTATTAAAAATGAAAGATAAAATAGTACATTGTGTCATGAAAGAAGTGAGTTACTGCGTACAGTAAGAACCGGAAACGACCAGGCCCAGCTCGGCTGATATAACGACAGCTGTCACCGGTTGCTCATGGCCCGTGAGAGTTGCCCTCGGTGCTGGAGCTTCACCTTCTCCGACTATCGTCTGCGTTCTTGCGTTCCAATGCCACAATAAAACGGTGCAATCGGCACTTCCGGATGCTATGTAGCAGTCGGAAGTTATGTTGCACTCGCTGCGTGACAAACACGTGACGACTCCGTAATGGCCAAACACTATCTGCACGATTTTTGCTGTAAAAAATATCTCGTTGTAAATCATATGCAATTACAATCTTACACTGTTTAATCAAAATAATTACCAGTTTCGGTGGAGAACACGCGGAAGCTATTATCCCAAAAGCCACAAGCAACTAGGAATCTGCTGTCCACTGTAGTAACGAAACAATTGCTTCGAATCGTCAGTTTCTGACTGAAATTATCTCCCAAGTGTCGACGTAGCGTTGGATTCGAGCTGTTCGCCGCTTGTGCTGCAACAAACACATCGATTATAAAGATATTTCAATTCTAAACTGCTTTTCGATTCTTTTCGTTTTGCTTACAGAGAACAGGGTCCATGGACATCGGTTGATTTGCAGCCTGAGCTTGAGGAGTGTCCGCGTAACTCGGCGATTGCACGGAGGCTGCAAGTCGATTCATATTAAATGCATGATTTTATAGAATATATTATATTAGATGTATAGAATATATTAGATTTCGCTGCTCTCGCTGAAACGCGCTAGATCTTCACCGCTTACCAGCGTAATTAGTGTTCCATCTATTAACAGCGAATTGCTGTCCTGTGGTAACCGTAACGACCGACGGCAAAGGCAATTGGGGATAAGTGTTGGCAGAGATGTGACAAATCGGTGAATTCGATGGGAATTTGATAGTCATGCACACGTCGTCCGGGATACTCGAAAACATCATCGGCGACTGCAACACGGGTGGCAACGTCTTGTCAAACTTTGCGGTACTCTTCTCGTTTGGAACGATTGAACAGAAAGAAAAGCGTGCATTGTACGTGTGTGTAGGTAAACGCGTTTCGCTCGTGATTGATTTTAAAGACTGGACACGTTTGAAGGTCCGTTTCGAAAAATCTATTTTAACTTCATCATGCGATTCATTTAAATATCTGGAGAGACATCAACGCGTTCACTGCGGATGAAGCAAACTCATTTTCGCACGATAAGATTAAAATGACACTAAAACTGAATTCTCATTGATCATGATACTAAAGGATCCATAGTTTCCACTGATCAAAATGGTACTAGGGTAACTGAATGTAATCATCCTCCGTCAAAAGAGGACTGTTTTGATAGTCTAGCTTATACGTGGAGCTATCTGTTTCTTTCTAAATCGGATACCTACGATACATTGCACACTCTTCCTGTTACAAGGTTCTACGAGATACTTAAACTTGACTTCACTAATCGAAGCATGGAGTATTGTAAAATGAACGTCGTTTACCAAATGCATGGCGGAACTCCTCGGAGGATGGGGTTCCATCAAAAGTTGCGACGGTGTTTGACCAAAGTTGCGTATCTGATTCTCTATAGCTTCCCTCATAACTGGGTCAGTTATGGTGTCTAGGTCCACGCTACCTTCGTATGTTAAATAATAGAAAACGTTTGTTGCTCGAACTGCTTCTGGACCTGAACAAAAAGAAATATTATTCATTCCATCTTAGAACTACTCAAAATCTTTTCCCTCCTTATAATAACTTTTCAATCTTTTCCAAATCAGCTGCGTTTCAGAGGTTTGGAAGATTAAGTGGTACTTTTCCATAGGTTTGTTCTCACGGATTCTTGGACCTTTGATTTCTGGAGGTCTGTATTTCCGGTTGGCTGTACTCTTTCGTGCAACTGGCTATAAACGTGTTGCGTATTAAGGGTGGCACGCATTGTCGCGTCGTGCACACGTGCCTAATTGGTTGGGACAAGACCGAGAGGAAGCTAACTAAAAACTAATTTCTTCCATACGCGCGGCAAGCGCCGGCACTCGGTTTCTCGGTTTCTCGAGACATCTTCGAGGAAGCGCCGGATATAGAGGCGCCACCAGCAATTACCATCGGCAGAAATCTAATTTGACTAGACTCAACGTGTCCCAACACCCGGTATGGTTCTCTTACCATTCGCGTCATTGTGTGAATCTCATTATACTTAGAATTTAGTTTAAAAAATTATTGCAAACGTAGCTTATTTATCTAATATCCTTTTAGACTGTGTATTCACAAATTTTTTAATATAATTTGTTGCGATCATTGTACCGTTGTACTCAACTTTTATAGCCTGTTTTAAAAATAAAATCTTACCTTTCTGTTTGTAACCGAATATCAAATCTATCCACTGATGCAACTGGCAAGACACGAACTCCGACTCAAGTGCCTGAGAAAGTTGAAACACAAAAACATTTTATTTTAGAAATCGTTATTTTTCAAGTTTTCAAGGAATTATAAAATACAATTTGTTTCAGCGTTAATATCATACCATTCGATTGATTCGAATAAATTCTTCCGGCGACGATGCCCACGGTGGTAATTCAACATCGCCAACCGCGCTGCCATCTTCTTGCCTACCCAAGCGATACCGATTGCTGTTCACCAGCATTTCCGGTAGGAAGAAGAACTCCGGAATAAGCTCCTGTTAACAAGCAGAATAATTTATGATCCTCGTTAGAAATTCATTCTCGAAAGATAACAATAGCACATGCATCCGTTATTCAAGATTAACGAATTGCTAAATTAGAATAAAACGAACCTTCACGTCGGATGTGTCTCGCTGACAATTCTTCCAGGATAACGCGATCGAGGAAAATAATCGATTCGGATGGTCGAATTTACCGCCTTGGAGCGCCAAGAACATCGTCGTCATGGGTTCCTGTAACGTAGACAATTTTACCATAGTTAAAATTTTATGTCATTGTTATAATTAACAAAGTTAACTGTAGGTATAACTGCGAATACATTGCACATGTGGCTACATATCTAGCACAACCAACGGTGTACAATGAACGTGTTATTACATTTGTTATTACAATGTTCATGTTGAACATTGTTACAGTGCTCATTCTTAACACGTGACTTCCATGGAGTTCACGTGTGAACACCTCTGCAAATTCACCTGAATTAATTATGTACAAGAGAAAGAAAAAAAAGGAACTTATCGTTGACAAGGATCTACACTGACAAATTAAAAAATGAAATCAAAGAACTAAATAAATTTCTTCGTCCTTAATAATCTATATTATAATATATCATATGACACACGACTTCAAGTTAACGTAATTAAAATGTAACGTAATTAAAATCTTGAAGTTACTGCACGATACAAAATGAGAAGACCTCTCAAGATCACAAGACGAAGTCCCACTAAATAAACAACTAAGATGCTTTTCATCGAGGCATAAAACAAGCAGGGCTTATCTCGGCGAATGACAGAAGATCTTAACATCACCGTGCCAAAAGGCGGTCTCAGACACCGTGTTATACGTTTTCACGCTGAAAGTCTTATCCATCCAGTGTCAATCATTCGTTCGACTGACAGGCTGATGAACGTTAACGGAAGGACCCCCCGTGATCAACGTCAATTTCACGCGTAGGCGTGGAACTTGTATCCTGATTTACAGTCATAGCACGGGTAGAAAATTTTCGACAAGACAAACCGCTCGCAACGACCCAAGGGAAACGAGCATGTACTTTCGGTCGCGTTTAGCTTTTTACAGCTTCACGACTCGGTACCGTAACCAGAGCGTTCACGGTGTATACTCGAGAAACAACCCGAAAGAGACAAAAAGCGGTGCAGTTATACAGCAGTAAATTGTTTACGACGCAGTATATCGTCGCCTGAACAGCGGGATGTCCTCAAGGTAAGGAACAATAAAGATGCTTATTCGCGATGATTCGCATGTAAACGTGGAGGATCATCCTCATTCGACCGTGAATCATTCCAGTAAATTTACGTGGAATTAAAGCGTCGTCCCGTGGGACATTATTTGTACCGAGAATATAATCGTGATAAATTTCAATTTCAAGTTTTTCATAGATAAAATACTCAAAGTACTTAATCCGACTTTCGGTGCGTCCTGTGCTGATTTTATTTCCTTTAAATGAGACTTTTATTTCCCGTGGACAGACTAAGTATTCGATGAGAGACAAACGCTCAAAAAATTTCAAATTTTCTAATTTTCATCACTCATGCTATCATTCGTAATAGAAATATTTCGAATCGTCGTGGGATTTGATAAGGTGTTAACAAAGTCGTTAACGTAAAAACGACGAGTATATTTTTACATCGAATCCGCGGAACGTCGCCACAGAGGAAAATGCAGCAGAAAACAAATGTGCATATTTAACGGGAAGGCGGGTTTCGTTGACTCGAGGGCGTTCCGACGCCCCCAAATTAGTTTGCAGACACTACCGAATGCGTCGCTTAAATTTATGGTTCGAACTGGACAGGTCTCTTAAATAGACGGTCCAAGAACGGACGATGTTGGGGTGTTTCGAGGATGCGGCTCTCGAATATTTACAAAATATCGAATCAAGTCTCTTCCCAAAAATTGCTCAACTTGATACACATTTAAATTCATTGAGTCTTCAAAACCTGCGCTCTAATTCGATATCCCTGAAACAGCAGATTTTGGATTCGAGTTCACAAACGATAAATTTGAAAAGAACGAAATGAATGATAGCTCGTGTTCAACGAGTAATCCGCTTGATACATTGAAAATATATAGCAGAAGCTTACCACGCGTATCATCCAGTTCAAAACAAAAGCAGCGGTAGAGTAATGGGTGCCATAATGAAAAGGTGGTATACTGTCGTGTTCCCAACTTTGAAAACGTTCCTCAAAGTAAGCCCTTCTGCTCGGATTCAACGCTCCAATCGGCTGTAACAAGTCATTAAACAATCACAGGATAATTGCGGCATAAAATACAGGATTTTTATTAATATAGTCTTATTAGTTACCTTTGATAAGTCGCGGTAATTGCTGGGTAAACTGAGATCCAGCTCCTTCGTCTCGTAGTTTGTCAACACCCAAGGGAAAACCGGATATTGGTTCAAGTCATTATACGTTCGACCTGAAAGGTAATTTACATTTAATTACTTCGATTCATTTCGCTATGACACATTTATCACTTCCGTTCGTTTTTACTTTAACATTGCTGGCATCAACGTGTGCTAACAGCAAAAATATCGAGGAGCGCTGTCATAAATATTGTTATTCTCGAGCGCATGCAAATAGGTCGAAACGTAAATCAAAATATATTTTTCTTAAGTACCGATCTGATCATTATAAAAATGTGTAAAAACGCATTGCGAAAAAAATGTTCTTTGAAAGGTATTTAAGTATTCGAAACGATGTGGAAATAAAGAAGTGAAAGCAACGTCGTTAAACTAGTCTATCATTTCGGTAACATTGTTCGAATACTTCTCTCAATACAAAGAAATCCTATTCGAATTTTACGATGCACCCACGTATCACTAGTCGCGTGGATTCTCTTCGAAAGCCTGCGGTACTAAAAATAAACGAGTGGTTTATTCCTTCCTTTTAATGCGTATAATCACCGGCCTAATTTTTTTGTCCGACCCTCTCAGCCACGGTCACTTTTCTTTCCACCCTCGCTAGAGAAAGAAAGAGATTATACCGCGGTTCGCATCTTCTAATTCTATTTTTACGAAATACGCGCCGCGGTTCAAAGCAGCATAGCAGCGGGAAGAGAGGTGTTCCGTTTAGTAAGCGTATAACTCAGAGCGTGACGGCTAATCGTTCCTGAAATTGTCACTTCTGGAGGTCTCACTCTTCCATCCCCACCCCCTTCAGAATCCCATTTCGAGATGCATTAGTGACGGCAGCACGGCTGCAAGCCTGACTTCGTCTAATCTCCTCCCCTGTCGCTAATTAAAACCCGTCAGCAAGTTTGTCAGCGGGCGTACCCCTCGCGCCGGGTCGTTTACGGGCGCCGTTTAATTCGTGCTTCTTCGTTCTACTTGGCTTCCTGATTCGTCCATGCACGTCGACTGCAATCTCCTCTTCATCGACCTGATTGTCGTGAATTATGCTCTTCGTTTAATGGAATAATTACGGAACATGGAGACTCCACATTTCTTACTACACAATCTTTTAGACGGGACTAACATTTTTGACAAAATCTATAATCAAGCAGCGTATAACTTTCCACATACATGATGTAGGATGTTTCATCTAAACACTCGAAGTAGAACAAGTCTAGTTTAAACAACTTTAGCTAGAATATATGAATAACAATTTTATTTTAGAACGTACATATGAGCAGATAAAAATGCATATGGATATATGTATATGTATGTTGATATAGTATGTATACATGAATATATGTATATGTCTATTGATGTAGTCTGCATATGTGGATATACGTATATGTCTATTGATATAGTATGTATATGTGAATATATTCATATGTGTATTGATTTAATATGAATATATGGATATATGTATAAGTTTATTGATATAGTATATATACATGGATATATGTATATGTGTATTGATATATTATGTACATATGAATATATGCATATGTGTACTGATTTAATATGCATATGTGGATATATGAATATGTTTATTGATATAGTATATGTGTATTAATATAGTATGTATATATGGATAAATGCATATGTGTATTGATTTAATATGTATATGTCTATTGATATAGTACATATACATAAACATATGTATATGTGTATTAATATAGTATGTATATATGAATATATGTATATGTGTATTTATACACATGTCTAAAGTATACATTAAAGACCATATGAAGCATATATTCTTTGCATCATCCCCTACATAACTCAGCTTTAACTTATGCAATTCAAACCCTAGTCTAATAAACTGTTAAAAATGTTAAGTGAAAGGGTAGCTTCTATTTCGCAATGCTAATCGAAAAAAGCAGTCCACAAAGGCAAGAATAATCACAAGAAGCCGCAAAAGTCCGTGGCGCGGCCCGAAAGAAATTCACCGAATACTCGATTCGTTGGCGAAGAAGAATACAAAAAACACAGAGGAGAAGACTCGGCGGCGAAATGGCGGTGCACCAGCCCCCTCGTAGTTACAATGCGTCGTAAATCGTGATGCTGCACGACCGACGCTGGGACGTAAATAATAGTAAGGCCGCGTTATGCATCAAAGTGATTATTAATGGTAGCGTCCCGGTGAGTGAGCGTTCACGAAACGTTTCACGACAGACTCCACATTTCTTACTACACAATCTTTTAGACGGGACTAACATTTTTGACAAAATCTATAATCAAGCAGCGTATAACTTTCCACATACATGATGTAGGATGTTTCATCTAAACACTCGAAGTAGAACAAGTCTAGTTTAAACAACTTTAGCTAGAATATATGAATAACAATTTTATTTTAGAACGTACATATGAGCAGATAAAAATGCATATGGATATATGTATATGTATGTTGATATAGTATGTATACATGAATATATGTATATGTCTATTGATGTAGTCTGCATATGTGGATATACGTATATGTCTATTGATATAGTATGTATATGTGAATATATTCATATGTGTATTGATTTAATATGAATATATGGATATATGTATAAGTTTATTGATATAGTATATATACATGGATATATGTATATGTGTATTGATATATTATGTACATATGAATATATGCATATGTGTACTGATTTAATATGCATATGTGGATATATGAATATGTTTATTGATATAGTATATGTGTATTAATATAGTATGTATATATGAATATATGTATATGTGTATTTATACACATGTCTAAAGTATACATTAAAGACCATATGAAGCATATATTCTTTGCATCATCCCCTACATAACTCAGCTTTAACTTATGCAATTCAAACCCTAGTCTAATAAACTGTTAAAAATGTTAAGTGAAAGGGTAGCTTCTATTTCGCAATGCTAATCGAAAAAAGCAGTCCACAAAGGCAAGAATAATCACAAGAAGCCGCAAAAGTCCGTGGCGCGGCCCGAAAGAAATTCACCGAATACTCGATTCGTTGGCGAAGAAGAATACAAAAAACACAGAGGAGAAGACTCGGCGGCGAAATGGCGGTGCACCAGCCCCCTCGTAGTTACAATGCGTCGTAAATCGTGATGCTGCACGACCGACGCTGGGACGTAAATAATAGTAAGGCCGCGTTATGCATCAAAGTGATTATTAATGGTAGCGTCCCGGTGAGTGAGCGTTCACGAAACGTTTCACGACAGCGGAATGCCCGCGACACACTCGTCCCTCGTGTCTCCACCTCCGCGAGCCCCCTTCTGCCCACAACGCCCTTACTTTTTTACCTAACCCACCTCTCTTCCATGGTGCAACGTTATAATAAGTGCCGCTCGCGACAACACGCTCGTTTTTAACTCGCCACTCGGCGGGATTTAAGAGGACGCGGAGGTGGCCAAGAAAAATTGACAGGAAGTGCTGCGAAATGGTTACAGCTTCGCAACATTTGGCGAAGTAGATTCGCAACATCTGAGTAGGTTTAGGAGTGGCCACGCAAGCTTTCGATTTAATTGATTGGAAAGGAATTTCTGATCGATTTAGTTCAAAGTACTCGAATGCTTGAGAAATTGAAAAAACTTCCAAGTCTCGGGTCGATCGATTTATATTTAACGCGGATCGTTCCTTGTGTCTATTCCAATAAATTTCAATCGACACGTCAACATTTTAAAGAGCGTAAGTTACCGCGATAGCCATTACACGGAACCTGAAACCCTACGGTGTCCTTTCTCAAACTCCCATCACGTTCGACGCGAAATATAAACGACACGTTCTCTAAGTACCTATTGTTCGATCGAAAGTAACGACCACCGCAGAAACATCGCGGCCAATGATTCACGAGCCTCTCTTCCGTAATACCAGACCCGAAATTTATCCTGTTACGTCAATTATCAAAATACTATTCGGACAAGTTAAATTTCATTAAGGAGAGGCCGCTCCGAGAAAAGGAACGAGACACCGGTGGCGGCGGTATGAAAGATACACCCACGCGAACATACACGACGAACACGAAGCCCATCGTATTTAAAACGGCCCTACTGTCATTAATTTTTAATAAACCGATGCAACCGAGCAAATAAACAACTAGAAGGCTCGCATGCACGAGCCTGGACGCAGGACCGGTTCGTTTTCGTAACGTGTTCTCCCGCCGGGCTTTGCCCAATTGCACGCTGCACTGCCCACGCCCTTCCCACCCTCTAACCCCCTGGATGGACTATTTATTCGTGCAATTAATATATAACGCTCGTAAATACACGACCACCCCACAGGGTCTCGCGGTGTTCTCATCGATGTACGAATAATTACGCGTCCGCGATCATCCTCGTCATTAGGGGCGCGTGGGTAGTCGTAAATTCTATCTTTACATAATTCCAACTCCGTGGTCATTTCTTTATAATCTTGCATTAAACGATCCTCTATTAGTACCTTCGGTACTGGTGATTTTAACGTCATCGATCGAGGTGCAATTTAATTTGGAGCACACAGCTGTAAGATGTTGATTACCCACGTGTGGATGATGTTAGCACATGTGTTAGCTATATGTGGACGCTTGAATTTTTATGAGAACCACCAGAATCAGTAATATCAATAAGCTTAGCAAAATCAGAGATATCAGAATTATTCAGTTATGGTTAGTCCATAAATTTATTTCTGAGCTATGAATTTTCTATGAATTTATGAATTAGTCTATGAATTTTGCGGTTAAAGGTAGGCAACGTTGAGGAGTTCTATCGTTGACTAACCCTACGTTCGGTGTTTGTCGAAACGACTGATGGACGGTGATCCGGTAAAAAAGGTGAGGGTTGTCGGTTCTCGAGTTTCATGATTTAGCCCGCGACGTTCGCGAGCCAACAAAAGGGAGGCCGATATTAAACCGAAGGAGAAACAAAGGCGCGGCTTCCATTCGGCTTGGTAACGTGGGGAAGCAGAGAACACCAGTCCCCCGAGAGAGGATTACCAGGGCCCACGAGCTAGGGATTACTCGTATGGGGTGGCTAACGGAACACGGAGCTGATTGAGAACATCCCTAATACGCCGCGACAGATTCCATCCGCCCGTGTGCAGCCATAGACGTTCGTCCCTCTTCTGTCTCGTTCCTTTGCCAGCTAGTTCCTTTCTTTTGTCTCGTTCGAGACCACGCTGAAATCGAGAGACGATCGACCCGTCCGCAGACGTCGCATTTTCTTTCCGCAACCGGTAAGCCGATATGATTTTTTGCCCGAACATCCCCCTTTTATTACCGTTGCGGAAAGAACGAGATTTTATACCCCTCCGAATGGAAAATAAAAGATATACGAATGGAAAATAATTTGTAAAGATTTCACACAAAATTTATGGAAATATAGGAATATTTGGGGATTGGTTGAGATCTTTATTTCGATAAACTTGATCTTTTCCGTGACGTATGCACTTACCTGCAATTGTATTCAAGAACATGAGATACTCGAAGTTAGATATCTCTCTTCGCTGCCACTTCTGCGTCATGTTTGAACTCCTCATTAATTGCCGAGGCGACATCATCGACGCTCTCCTGCAAGAATAAAATGATTTTTAGATGCACTTGTTAGTAGAAGTACGAGGTCTTCATTACACTAAAATCTTTTAATAGATTATGCAACGTTATACATAACGTATTTACATGTAAATCGTCTCAATTAACCTACGGATGATTATAAACCGGTGTAATTACTTATTAATGATTCCAACACCTATGACTGATGCGAATAGTTGATAAATTATTACCCATCTAACCAGTTTATCCGATGTATCAACTACGGGATATGTAGACACTGGTGACGAAGGTGTGATAGTGATTTGCAGATTCACTCAAAGAAATATTTGAACGCTTAGATCAGTAGGGAGAACAATATTGAATTGGTGCTTGTTAGATCTTCAAGCTTCAAATTTGGAAATTTACAAGTTTGGGATAGTTGGGATTTGGGGATTTGGAAAGGGAGTTTAGGAAATTTGGGGATTTGGGGATTTGGGGGTTTTGGAGATTTGGGGATTTGGGGATTTGGAGATTTTGGGATTTGGGATTTGGGATTTGGGATTTGGGATTTGGGATTTGGGATTTGGGATTTGGGATTTGGGATTTGGGATTTGGGATTTGGGATTTGGGATTTGGGATTTGGGATTTGGGATTTGGGATTTGGGATTTGGGATTTGGGATTTGGGATTTGGGATTTGGGATTTGGGATTTGGGATTTGGGATTTGGGATTTGGGATTTGGGATTTGGGATTTGGGATTTGGGATTTGGGAATTTGGAGATTTGGGGATTTGAGAAGTTGAAGATTTGGGGATTTGGAACTCGGGAGATTTGGGACTTGAGAGATTTGAGACTTGGAAAATTTGGGATTTGGTAGATTTGGAACTTGAGAGATCTGGGACTTGAGAGATTTGGAACTTGAGAGATTTGGGAATTGGGAAATTTGGAACTTGGGATATTTGGGACTTGGGAAATTTGGAACTTGGGAGATTTGGGATTTGGTAGATTTGGAGCTTGAGAGATCTGGGACTTGAGAGATTTGGAACTTGAGAGATTTGGGACTTGAGAGATTTGGGACTTGAGAAATTTGGAACTTGGGAGATTTGGGACTTGGGAAATTTGGAACTTGGGAGATTTGGGATTTGGTAGATTTGGAGCTTGAGAGATCTGGGACTTGAGAGATTTGGAACTTGAGAGATTTGGGACTTGAGAGATTTGGGACTTGAGAGATTTGGAACTTGGGAGATTTGGAACTTGGGAGATTTGGGATTTGACAAATTTGGAAATTTGAAGATTTGGAAATTTGGAAAATGTAAAAAACTAAAAATTTAAACTTGCAAAAATATCCCTATTCACCATATCCCAAATTTTCAAATTGTGAAACTACCCTGTGCCCACGAGTGCACCCCCCTAACTCGATGCATTCTCCATCGTCCATCGCCTACTTAGGTCATACTGCAATTGTACATTTCAATTGAGAAATATTCACCACGCAAAATTAGTGCAAAAGCTGTTCTATCGGAAAGAGGCCTGGTGCTTTCAGTTCGCGTAATAAAATGCAGCGAGCGGTTTTACGAACGCGAGGATCGCTGATTTAGGATTTATACGAGAGACTTTAATGGGCGTACACGGTGGACGACATTAAAGGAGGGAAGCATGCAACCACGGCCGGATGTATAAATTCCAGGGTTGCATGCATCTTCAACAAATCTTCCGGAACTATGAAAATCGTTCGCGCAATTCTGAGGCAAAGTATGCGATTTACTTTCTTCATAAAATTCTCTATGATGCTTATTATTGCTTGTGCAAAAGAATCTCTTTGAAATCGAATTTAGTCATTTTCTATAAATTGTTCGATTTCATAAAAATTATTTAACTTACAATTATTTAAAATTATTATGTATGGTTAGGTAAGATATTTCTGTTCAAAGCATTTATTTATAACTCATTTTCTTCTGCTATAACAGATCAAGAAATTGCCAATCATTTCAATTAAATCTATGTAAGTGTCCGACCCGTTCATTTCATCGACTTTATCGTCGTTAAATAAATTGCTTAACAAGCTTAATTAGAATTGTTATAGTCATATAAGCTTTATGAAATTGTTAATATCAAAGTTAGTGTTGCTAGACAAATAGTATAGGTGTTCTCGTTCTTATCACGGGTCGGTGAACACCGATCTAATTGATCTGCTGGATTATGCAAGTCACAGGATTACAAGTTCCTCCACTTCTTATGACGGGACGCTGAACAACTTGTCACGTAAGAAATATAATAAATATTAAGTAGGATAATTAACGATCAATACTCTTCAAATTAAATTTTTAACTCTGTCAAAATCGATCATAGAACGTGTCACATATTAAATAGCAATATTAAAACACTCCAAGAATACTTGGATTCAAAAGGCTACACTTGGCAATATAAATAAATACAATTTAATAAATAATTGCACACAAATATAAGATAAATCTAACAATTTCTCATCGATCAAAAAAGTGTTAATAATAAAAAATAGCTACGTTACAATCTCAAATGCAAATCTCACGAAAGCTCAAAAATTTCTTCCACTAAAAGCTGCCTTTTTTCACAGAAAACCAACTCGACTCTCGTAAGATAACTCGCTATTGAACTTCCTACATCCTGCATTGTTCGGCTTTTCCTCTCGAAGGCAAGTCGCATTTGTTTTTCTCGCGACACGAGCGTGGGTACGAAGCGTCACGACGCGGATGCACGTTTTATATGCCGGCAGATTATTTTTGTTGGTCAGGAATCTCCCTCGGATCAGACGTCGAGAGTCTCCGTATATTTATGGCCGGCGTATCCTTCTCGCCGACTCTCTTGTATAAGAGCAGTTTAATGGATGGATCGAAGCGTGGATACCGCGAACCTCTGTTCTCGCCGCTTGTCCTCGGACGCACTTGTATTGGTATATGTGTATCTAGAAAAGGATCTCTCTTCTTCCTAGGATACCAAGCGCTTTGTTTTCGAAATCCCATTTCAATTGACAAAGATACGAAACTGTGTATTTTCACAAAGATACGAAATACTTTCATAGATGTTCGTAATCAAATTTTTGATAGATTGCAGTTTGTAAAAATAGACAAGTTTTAGCTTGTTGATCTAAAATTTTGTGGACAGGTATGACATTCACAGCTAATTCATTACTAGTACAATTTTAGGACAAGTAGAGGAGGTTCAAAGGCTAGGCACATATTTCAGAAGAGTTGGAGTTGGAATTAGGTCTAAAATTCAGTGACAATCGTGATACGAGTCTGACTTAAATTTAGACTTGCGTGTCACACATGACAAGGTAAAGAGTTGAAGAATTCTTTGTGAAATTCTGAACATACATACTCTGTGCACATCAACCAATTATCCTACAGTCCTCTCCAGTACAATTTTATTCGAATTAACTATTGCATCGTCCTGATCGATAGGACCGAAAAACGATTCGACAGATCCATCAAATACATTCCCGCTTCGTAACCGGCAGTTTCCTCTATCATCCGATCAGTAGTCCTAGCAAGAAAGGATGCGTCCCTGCTCACGGAATCCCAAGGAAAGGGGACAAAGAAAGAGCGGAATGCGACGAGCGTGTTCCAGGATGAGCCACGTCCAGATCCGTGGATCCAGATGTCGGTAATAGGGTTGGTGAATCGGCCAGTTCCTTACCTAGTCTGCTGTATCCCGTATTTGATGCCAACGCCGACCCGCGGTAGCGCCTTGATCACCTTTTTCACCGTCGCCTGGTCCGGGAACGCGAACAGGATCGAGGCTGCGGACAAAAAGGCGTTAAAGTGCGGATTATAAGCGAACCCAATCTCGACGAAGGGTCGCGTGTGTCAATCATTCGGAAAGAATGGCGGACGCATTTCTTACTCGCATCGTCAATTTCGAACCTTTGGATGATCATTCAGGAAGACGATAGGCTTCTCTGAATTAGTCGAATGATGGCTGAGTTTATTAGAGACGAGTTTTTGCGGGGAGAGCTAGCTTTCCGTACTTGGAGATGAGTCGAGTAGTTTCAGTGTCACATTTGTGGGACTCGGGACTTCGAAGTTGATGATCATTAGGGTAGGGAGCAAAATTGACTTCTACTTCGGTTTTTATGGACTTTGTTTTTGTGAGTTGATAGTTCGTGATATATTTTGGTGAATTATATTTCATTGAATTGGCATAGGTGAAGGTTTATGTATGTCTCATCAGAGGTGAAGTTTCATGTATGTCTCATCAGAAGTGAAGTTTCATATATGTCTCATCAGAGATGAAGTTTTACATATGTCTCATCAGAGGTGAAGTTTCATATATGTCTCATTAGAGGTGAAGTTTCATATATGTCTCATTAGAAATGAAGTTTTACATATGTCTCATCAGAGATGAAGTTTTACATATGTCTCATCAGAGGTGAAGTTTCATATATGTCTCATCAGAGGTGAAGTTTTACATATGTCTCATCAGAGATGAAGTTTTACATATGTCTCAACATAGATGAAGTTTCATGTACATTCATTAATTTGATTTCCAATCAGACTGAAGTTTCGTATACTTTTCGTACATGTACATATTTGTAACAACATAATATCTGATTGTTCATTTGATGAAGATTATATAAATAACACAGAGAGTCTCACTTAAGACAAACATCTAAATTATCATTGCTGTTGGATCATAAATAAAATGTTTGAACGACATGTTCATATCACTCACTTTATCCTACATTCAATAATAATAAAAATAATTTTGAGAGACAATCTGTACAAGCATATAAGTTGTCCAGAGCTTGCAGAATATTTAAAATATACAAACTAAAATAATTTCAGAATAATGCTTAAGAGTCTCATATTCACAATTCATGCTTTATGATGTTATAAATTAGTATACTAAATTCGTGCTATTTTTGCTCAATTAAGAGAAATGATTCATTCGAAGAAACTCCAGCGTTAAACATGGTAAGCACATTTAGGAAGTAGTTAAACGTGAAAATATGAAATGAGTGTACGAAATGGACTTAATTTGATGGCTTTAATAGCATCGGCCGCTTCGGTGAAGCTCCCTCGAGAGTTCAAAGGGTAGCGTGCGCAAAGACAGTTACCATAAATACCAGCAAATAATTTATGTAACCTCGAATACAAGGCTAAAATATACGAGTCGGTCTTAATCAAGGGAGCAGGCAGAAAGGACGATCAAGGGAACGAAAATCAAAGAATTTCCTGACGTCACGAAAATGAGTAAAAGAATTTTCTATTTTCTATGCAAATTATATGTTCCTCTTTGCTTATATTTTTCTTTCGAAAGTAGAGCAAGTTCCTCTTTGCTTATATTTTTCTTTCGAAAGTAGAGCAAGTTCGTAATTTCTGAATTTCTCTACAATTTTATGCACCACCTTTACAACATAAAGCACGAAAAAGAAAGTGCTACCGGTGCAGTATATTCTTGCGATTCGAGCGAAGAGATAGAGGCGTCACGTAAAAATTCGTGAACGTTACACCTGTGTACATTCGTATTTTTTATCGTTCAAGGATTTATCGCGTGGAAAGCAGGATCCCTCTCGATTAACGAACGTTTCCAGTAATTTTTTAATGAACGACGAAGGTACATCGCAGCGGTTGACATTCCGCCGCTTCCACGGCGATCATCGAAAACTCGAGGGATCAGATTAGAATCAGAGAACCCACCGAGAAATTTATCTGTGGCCAACGGAGAAATAATCAGCGGGATTGCTGCCCCTCTCGCAGGTATACACCGGTACGCGAAGATATTCGAACGTCGGTATATGTTCACGATTAAATTAAAATAAATAATCCTCATTTTTTTGATCGTAAAAAAATTCCGTGTTCCACGCGTTTTCAACAAATTGATGAATATCTACTGACATTTTTACTTCCATGTCGCGCATCACGCGCATACTGTATGCCCGGTTTAACTACGTATGTTAATGGTAAAGTGCGATACGCGGACTGCTGTAAATTTACACCTTGCTCGTGACATATGAGAGGATAAATGTCAAACGCGTCTAACTAAAATACTGACTTGCGTACGTAGATATAACGACGATTTATTTAAAGATAAAGTAGTGCAAGCTGCGGGTCTACTTGCAGGCGTGTGGTGAATTATATTATTCAAAATTTAAGTTCACTTTCGAAATACGGGGATGTTAGTATCAATGTAATAGAATTAGTAGTTTGAAGACATTTGAGTTATAACTATTGAGATTCATAAGTAAAGGTACATGAATGTGGTGAAGTACAGTGCGTTGACTTCTTGGATCGATTCTTGATATATTTAGGAGAGCACAGTACGAAAAGTAGTGAGACGAACACAAAAATTTCAATATCCCTGTTGTGGTACTTTGAGAACAAGAATTGACAGTCTCAAGAATTAGATCAAAATTGAAGTCTTCAAGCTACAAAATTTCAAAGTCCCAAATATCTTAATATCTACAAGTGTCTTAACGTCTCCAAGCTCTCCAAGTCCGAAAGTTCAGAATTCGACAAATGATTATCAATAAAAGACGATGCATGACGTACGTCGACAACAGGTGTGACTCGAATCGAGCGATAAATCGGCGACGATTGAAAAAAAGAATACCGTAACGCGACGCAGATATTTATTGTGTAAAAAGCAAATGGGGGTAGAACACCTCGCGGCGAGCTCAGGATTCCGTCTCCATTTTGCCGGATTAGATCACGCCGTGTGAAATAACGCAGAAAGGCACGGGCGATCGAGCAAGAAATGGAATGCGCGTCCTTCCTTTCTGCGAAAGGACCCCGCCGCCGTTCCTTTGAAAACGAACGAAACAAATCGTGCACGACTTACTTCTGCTGGCTAGGAAGATCTCGATAGCGACGTTCTGGAGCAGATACCGTCGCGAGAATATCGCTCGCACCTCCGAGAAGTACCATTTTCCGTGCAGATGGTCGCAGTATTTCAACACCTGAAATCAGAAAAAGAAATTGGGATGTTGAATAAAATAATAATTATTATAGTTGTGGGTACATGTTAATGATACATAAACAGAGTATTCATTCTCTGTTACTTGCGATTAAATATGGAGGTCATTCTGTTGTGAATATGTTACGTAAAATAATCAGATCTGAAATCTGACATGTGAGCATAGAGCATCTAGGTTCATTAGTTTGGGACATGTATTTGATGAGAAGTGGATCTCTTAAGATCCAGTTAGGGTGTGGATGTTGAAGAGTTGATACAAATAAAGGTACTGAATTTGGTACCGCAAGTGCTCAACTAATATTGCAGGTCTTCCAAGAGTATTGCAACCAAACTTTCTCAGTAAAAAAAAATTCTCGCTAACCCTTTACTTAACCGATCGAAAATCAGTGAGGAGCCATGTAAAGAGTAATCTAAAGTCATCTGTTACATCAAGGAGTATTTAACATCCCCCAATATTCTAAGTTATTAAAAGGTGAAGTGAAGTGCCCTATCAAAACCCTTGAAGTACCCTATCAAAAACCTTAGCTAACTATTATGAATCGTTCGCTACCATCTAACAGAGTAAACGTCTGAAAGTGAAGCAAAGGACTCGAAAATGACCGGAAGGAAGGACCTCTATCAAGAAAGTTCAGCTCGCGTCGAAGAAGGACGAGGCAGGGGTGCGATCGCATGGCTGACCGTAAGTATGCAACCTGGATGCAGTGAAGTGTGATGTGATATAGTGAGACCAGTGCCGGTCGCAAGATGGCCGTCATGGTAGGAGGAGCCTCCTGCTGAGCCGAGAATCGATCCCAGGACTTGGCGGACTTGCGCTCTCGAACGAGTCCGTGAACAACTCGTAGGCGAAAAGGGGGAGGCCAGGAAAAAGGACGAGACACCGTGTGGAACGGGGCAAAGGACAAGACACAAAAGAAGGACAGAGGAGCGAGAAGGAGGAAGAGGTGAATCCAATTTACCGTCCTCCATCTAAACAGGCCTTTCAATTTTTCCCTCTTTAATGAGCGGCCGCCGTCGCGATGTCCTTACGCGCGGCAAATGAAATTATCCTCGATATAATCCGGCGAAACGAGCCGATCCGCGTTTAACCTCTCGTTGTTGGAAACGCCGACGAGATCGTATCTGTCGTTGCTTCGACACTCGTCGAATTCCTTGTTCTGGATGCTAATGGGGCTCCAGGTAGGACGCGTGACGGAGAGCCACCGAAATTAATGCTCGGGGTTGAAGACGCCGATAATAGGCACACCCTTGATTCCCCAGCCGAACAGGAATGTCGACAGAGATATCGGGAATAAACGGACTTCATCTTCTGTCTAGGGCTGATTAATTGGATGTATCCACTGTCGTTTGAATTTCAACGAGCGAGTTTGGGCTTAAGAATAATGGACACTTTTGTTGGTTACGAGATGAGAGATACAATTTACCGTACTGGGAATAGATTTGTTAGGAGCGAAGAAAATGTTAGGAGCACATTTGCTTATCGCTGAAATTTAGACACTGAATGATCCTTATAAATGATACGTGAATGTAGAATGGTAGAATAAAAAATTAAATTTATAAAATTTTCAGCAATATTTAAAATTGCTTCGATTAAATACTATTTGCAATTTGATTGCAGTACAATCAAATACTAGATGAGTAGATATACCAGACGAAAGTATCGATGAGACTTCCCCAAGTCATCGGAGATCAAGCAAACACGAGAGATGACATTAGGGTGGAGTGCACGCACATTGAAATCTAATTACAAACACATAAGCGGCTTTAACTCCCCAGGGACAATAACTGTCGAGTCAACTCCTGAAGATTAAGTAGAACACGTGTTGTTTGCGTTAATAAATCATCGAAATAGAATTTTTTAATCTTGACACTGCAAAATTTGACGAATACGAAACTAGCGTAAGATGTTAAAGGGGTGTAATTTTGGCAGGAAACATTTTTATAACTTCGAAAGTTTAAACCATTGCACCGGTGGAAACATATAGAGAGTTGTTACAGTCGATTCCATGCGCAAGATTGGGAAAGAGGAGTCGAGGGTGGCTGCACAAAGCCAACCCCTAAGCACCATTGCGCAAGCTCTCTACAAACACTGCTTGATACTGATAATAGCTACACCGTGATATGGAATTCATTACTCGGATGAATCTCGACGTAGATATAACATGTGCCACGTATTTTATATGGGAAATCTGGACCCTGCAACCCTTCGACCACTAAGGGCTGATTTATCAAATTGAAATTAATAATCTTACATGAAAATGAAGTTAAGGTTGCTGAGATGAAAAGTATCGAACTCACTATACCCCAAATATAAAAATATGAAAACCTAGCAAGGATTCTTACCCTGCAATAGTTATATTCGAATTAAAATTCTGTTCTCCCTAATCCACTCTTCCTCAAAACATTTTAATCAAACCAAACACAAAATCAAGACAATACTAACACAATCAAGAATTTCCATCAAAGCAAACACAAAACTTAGTAATACAAATAAAAACCGAGTAGTAAAAACAACGAAGTCACCCCTGTCACTCGAAACGAGCAGCAGGAGAGGCACCATCCTCGCGCGACTAATATGTTTACACGTTCGATGAACCGTCGAGAGAATAGCTATCTGCACGGGAGCGTGGTTAAAAAGAGCTGCAACACCGGTGAAGTGTCAAGTGGTGCACGATTAGTGTTCCCCATGCGGTGTTCGTCTCTCGACGAGATCGACCCAGCCAGAACCTCGCTGAGCTTCCACCACGACAATAGGCGTCGTGATGTAACAACATGTGTCGCGTTCACAAGGCCCCCTTGCTGGTTGCCTCTATGTACGCCATAGGGCACCATAGAATGGGGACCACTTAGCAGCCCGCCGGCGGTATACAACAAACAGATTAAGCAGCGGACAATAATAGACCCCCTACTCGCTTTGCTCGACTGGACGTCTACCAGCACCCTCTCGATTCTTCTTGTAAGTGCGAACCACTCGAAATCACGATAGCTCCTTGTTCGAGCATGTTGGTTTAGAGGTACTCTAAGTGCCTTGATCATTAATTACCTGCGATCTAAGGGGGGAATGACTCGGTCTCTTTGGATTGATCTGAAGTAATATTTTGCTGATGGGTTTGGTCCCAAACAACGTATATTATTATGAATACTTGCAAGCAATCAGGTTGTTCAATGTGAGTGATGTATTAAGTAATGTGATTTATGTAGCAGTGCTTGCGACCTTGTTAAAATACATCTTATGATCTTGCTAATATAATTGACCTCGTCAAAACCTTGCTAAAATATTATAATTTTGCAAACTTATAATCTTGAAAACTTGTAACCTTGCCAGAAATGTAAAAGATAAACACGCAATCTGAGAATGTTTTTAATTTTAATGACACCTAATTGGGGTTGGCATCGCATTCTTTAAATTCAGAACCATCGACCGCCGAATAAAGACGAAGAATGAAAACAAGGTACTAAAAATGTAACGGTGGCAAACCATAAGCGTGAAGCTTCCAAAAATCGTGTCTCCAGCTCACTACACCGACCCTCGTTTCGTGAACGCGCCGGCTGATGCGCCGAAAACGTTCGAAGCCCATCAAGACAATCCGTAGCGACAATGAATTATGCGTGCCACGTGCGTGTTCTCATACCTTTATTGCCATACCTCACACAAGATAATCGTTGTATCCAACGTATAAGATCTCAAAGACTGTTGTATACAAAACTTTTGCTACTGAAAGTTATTTTAACATTGTAACCCAACAAATAATACGATTAGAATAATTAGTTATAGGTATGATGAGAATACTTGTAATCTAAAAATGGGTAACTATGCAGTCTGAATGACTGGCAGCCAACCACATATTTATATCATTACTGTACATTAATACTGTTATTAAAATACCTCGTTTGAGAGGATAAACTTGTAATCTTCAGAAAAATTAGCTGATCAATACCATTTAGATTGCATTATGGGACCACCTTCAATTCTATGAACAATCTCTTATACATCATCAATCGTAAATTATCAAAGATATTTAATTGTCAAAGAATCAACATGTAATACATTTCAGTGGTCTTTGAAATCCCATTACCGTACGTGTCTTACCACATACGGACGTTTCTACTGTCAAACCAGTACCAGTATTATACAAGCATTTAATTCTCACATCGTCAATTTCAAATAAACCTACGAATATCGTATTCCTTGCGATGCACAATTTTTTGCTCCACGAATCGCACGATTCGTCGAGCATCTTTCGTGTCATTAAACAAGGAAACCGTGAAATACGTAGTGCACCGTGACAGTCTCTACTTTTGCCGGCTGCCAGAGCTCAACGACTGAGCCTAGGATTATTCAGGGATTACACGAGGATGTTCATTCGAGCTGATTTACAAGGCCGACTCGATCTGCCGTCTTCATTGGCTCGGTTGCTTGGCGAGGGGCTCGTTTTTCGTTCGAAAACATTACACAATGAGAGGGACGCAATAGCGGATCTTATACCTGACGCGGTGTAAAACGAGCCCTCGAAATGTTTTGGCAAACTGTATTTTACCTAGGATTGCTCTTTTTTGACGGGCAGGGAGGTCTGATCGGCCCATTAGATATACTTCGGTGAACGTAAACGGTAGAACGTTTATCCCGGTCAGAAAATGACCGCATTTTATGTTACTTTTTAATCGAAAATTCTCATGAAAAATGTTGTCAAGTTTGAAGTTATTTTAGGGAAAGTGATGTGATTTAATGTTAAAGCAAATTGCAGTTAAAGTAATTTCATGTCAAAATAAGAAAAGCAGAATTCATGTTATGGTATCGATAATATTTTTTACATGCAGCAAGAAATTCGAGGATTCAAAAATGTCTTTGTTCGAGAAAGTGATGTGACTTAATGTTAAAGTAATTTAATGTCAGAATAAGAAGAGCAGAATTCATTTTATAATATCAATAATATTTTTTGATATCCTGCAAGAAATTCGAGGAATCAAAAATGTCTCCGTTCGAAAAACAGATGAGGAAATAAATAATGTCGAATGTTTGAATATCGAAGATACAGAATATTCAGTATCATTTTTGCAGAATACCCTCAACGACGGGTTTCCATTCGTTTCGTCCGTCTAGTTCCCGTATAATTGAATAAAGTCCAGAAATCCAATCTACTTGAAGTTGGAGTGGTAGATCGGTGCCCACCAGGCTCGCTATGCCCCCGCTAATACGACTTGATTCATGAGTCGAGCACGTGCTTCTCTCTCTTCGTCTCTGCCCTTCTTCGTTCTCCACCGAAGCAGTGTTTTCGCGCAAGAGACGAGGGGTCAAACGTTCTGCTACATCAACCCTCGCGTTAATGCAGAAGCCCGGGGTCTCGTTGTGCCCTAAACGTGCCTTTCATCATCCCATTTCGACTTAATTCGTTTATCATCTGAATTATTTGTACACCCACGAGATGTAGCCGGGGTTCAGTTTCGAAATGACGCCTCTGTGAGACCATCTTTCACTCGGAAAGAAGGGTGAGCTAAGGGAGCTTTTTCGTACGAAAATCATCGTGAAAACGGTAGAAAAAAAATAGTAGGATGACGAATATCTATGTATGATTAAGAATAACAATTCGATTTAGAATTTCCACAGATTTCACATAACAGAATTGTGTTTATCCAAAACTTTGAAGAATCATATCTTTATATCTGCAGAAAACTTTTGCAAACACCAAAACCTTCCTCCTTGAAGTTAAATACAATAGACTTCCCACAGCATCAGCGTATTTCTACATTTCCTCAAGCAACAAAGGGTTAAACCTACAACGAAACGATCGTCTATCGCCACGGTGTAATCTCTAAAATCTTATGGAACTCGATGTAAGGGCTATCTTGGCGAGTTATCGATATTTTCAGACCCTGGTATTGTACTTGGCGCAGGTTTTTACGATCGAGACATAAAAGGGAGGTCGAAAACGGTGTATCTCCCGATGATTGCTCGCTATTTTTCGCCGTGAACATCTGCCATTGCTAGCTAAGCTGCGGAGGCTGTCTTTCATTCGGGAACAAAGAGGAAAACGTTTAGTCTCGACGTTCGCTAACATCGGAGTTTCTGTTTCTTATTCGAACGTCGAATATTCAAATGACGCTGGTGATGGAATTATCGAGTCGAACGATCGTGCATGGAATTCCCCATGCGACCCCATCAACGGAACAATGCTCGAGAGGCTTGTTTTCGCCCTAAGAATTCATTCGATGGAGGATCGATGAGTCGATAATAAGTCACGCGTTGATGTCTCTACGAGGATGGAAACAAACGAGACATTTTAATGACCGAATTTTACTTGTATGGAGACCTGAACGATCAATGCACGAGACGTCTCTTAGGACAGTAATGCTAATTGCCTGTTTCATGTTTAATTTGAGTCAATTTAATGTCAAGTGGCTTGCGAACATGTACTCTTAGTAGAACACAATTAAGGTTTATCTGACATGTTTAATATTTATTGACAACATTCATATAAATGAATTAAGTATCAAGTGCTCACATCCTCAAAATTGAGTTCCAAAAGTATTTTCGAAATATATTAAAATATTTTGCTAAACCGAAAGCGTCCTTAATGAGTTGCCCTCGATGCTCTTAATCAATAACCCATCCATAATTCGATAACCGTAATCCAAAGTTCGGAAATCTGCTGCTATAACTCGTTCCTCCATGTTTAGCATTGTTTTCCCTCGGCTTAGCGGGTCTCGGTTTCAAAGCAAACAGCAGCGTCCGCTCGCACGCGGTAAACCTCGGGTTAACAACGAAGCGAGCCGCGTAAATTTTGCCCGCGTACGGGATGAAAAATTCGGTGGATCGAAGGGGTGAGAAGTGGCGGGCGTTGGTTGCGCGCGCGCGG